TTTTTGGATGTATATCCAATTATAGCCGAGTTGCGGACCCGAAGATCGCGCCTTATAAGTTTATGGGTGTCAAGGGGACGATTCACATGTGGGGCACATCCACGTGACGATTTTGCACTTGATCGAGGTAAATTGATCTAAATTTTTTTTTTTTTTTTTTTGGCGATACTATCAAACTTAACCATCTAGACTAGAGGCCAAGAAAAAAAAACAAAAAAAAAAAAAAAACCAAGCGAGGAAAGATTACTTCAATTACCCCAAAGGTGCACTTAGAACACTCTGGTGTCCAAACAGCAGAGACGAGTGAATTGGTGAATTGAGCAACCGCGGAGCTCGGCGAAATTAGACAATTCCCGTGAAGGACGAGCAAACAGTCACGGATTTTAGCTGGAGAAACAACGTAGTACATGCACACTTTTGTTTTCCACATCATCATTGTGGTATATGTACCCTTAAAAATTGTTATTTCAAAATCACTTTCAACTGCCTTTCAGAGTTGAAAATCGTATATACATTCCAAAGCCCCTCGCTCACCGGTGTTTATAAACTTTAATCGCCCGAGCGAACAATCAATATAAAATACATCGAACGTCACCTTTTCCAACATACACATTTTGAAAACGATACACCGAGTCGTTGACCACATACGAGTATCTCTACAGTTTCAAATAAAAATACGAGGAAGCCTATATAACATTTGCTCGATACGATGCGCACTGCAAGAACATCCGACTTTGGTGTTACAGTTATAAAATGAAGAAGCACGCAAGCCCGTGGTTTGATAAAAATCGTTGCTGTACACGATCGGGCTCATTACACCTTCAAAGTTCTGTACAGTGGAAAATCTATGGGCGCTGGCTTTTTTGTACATGAGGGGGGGGGGACCTATTGTTTCGAGGCAGCACCTTGTCACTAGTTTATTATTTATAGTACATCGAAAAATATACTTTAAAAACGAAAAAATGAGCATTCAAAGTTGTTCCCACGAGCGTGTAACGAAAATTATATCGCCTTTGCGATCTGCCCCCATGCACGTTTGTTTTTTTTTTCTTTTCTTCCCATCGGGTCATTTTAACAATTCAGATCGGTACACGCGGCTTATTAGAGCACCGCTGCAGCTGTATAATATTATGCAGAGGAGCGGCGTATTGTGTACCCACAACTGAGCATCGATGATACACGCGATGCATCTAACGGGGAACAAAAGTGTTTTGGGTGTATATGCCTTTGTGTGAGTCATTGAGACTTTTACAGGCATGGTTTGGTGTTACGAGCACTACTACAACAAGCGTACGGTATACACGTACAATTTTCATAATCATGAGTTAACGAATTTTGTTTTTCCTCGGGAATGTCTCGAAATTCCGTGCCATACGGTTGGGGTATGGAAAAAATATTTCGAGAGGAGACATCACCATTCTTGTGTATTCCAGACTTGGGTATTCGCTTTCTCTTCGGGAACTCCCGAGGAGTTATGTGTTAGTAGGTGTATATACATATTATCATTTCTCTTCGTCCCTCCCTCTCTTTTGAAAAAGTCGGTCCGCCCAGTCGAATAGTGCCCCGCTATTGCCTGTGTACACAATACATGTATATGTATAAAAAAAAAAAAATGCTGTAATGAATCGTACAATTTTTATAGAGTCAAGCGTTTAGTGTTGTTAAAACTATTGGAATAAAAAAAAAAAAGGAAAAAATAATGTTTCATACCTAAAGATAAATGATGAAATAAAAATAGAGCCCGAAACGTGTTACTTATACGTGTTTGCAGGCGAGGGCTGAATAACAATCAGCAGTTTAGGGTCGAGGCCGTGAAAGTCTGGTCGTATTCGGTTGGCAAAAACTTGACTTAAATGGCAGCACAAATTACTCTCCTGATGTGCCTTGGCTACGGTTCGCGTGAGCAAGAAAGAGGGAGATCCGATGAGTAAGTCACACATACATACGACGCAGAACCGAAAGATAATGTAAGGCGTGTGCATTTTTTTTCCTCAGTAAAATACGTACAATGATATATGTATCAACTGTTTGTTTGAATATTGAGAAATAAGCATTAAAATGTGTATATATGTATATGTATCACGATCTACGTTTTGCGTCATAAATTTTGCACTTGGCGTGTAATCGTTAATCCACCCGACATCCTCCAACATAATGTTAATCCCCATTAGCATTGCGAGCCCCTTTTAATTGTAATGTACCTATACATGTGTTACAATCAAACGTAAATAATGAGTCATCGACACTTGCGCATAATTATGTACCTTATCTTCAAAAATACTCGTGATACATGCAAAATCAACTTGGAATCCCGCGGACGTTACTACGAAGGCTCGTTGTGAGTTGTATATACTTAGTGGTATGATTCAGAAAACGAGGGAGAAAAAGATCCCGTCGGCGTCGATCGAATGATGACTCAGCAGCCTTTTCTCGTTTCCTCTCTCTCGGACTCGAGAGTGTGACGCTCATGGGCATATACGCGCACAGCTGGTTCATGTGTGCATATGGGTACGCCGTTCCGAGTATTGAGTCTTTGATTTTTCATGATTTTGCGATGTTGACTGCAAACTTGACACGGTTGTAAGGACAAAATTTTCTGCGATGGAAGGCCTTTTTCCCTTTGCTGTCTTTGAACTCAATTTAAACTGCCTTTGGGTGCGCTTTTGGACTCGCTGGTGATTTCTTTTTTTATTCAAGGGCGGTGACAATGTTGCACTCGTTAGTTGGATATGTGACCGTTTATTTAGTATGTGCACCAATAGGCATACTTAAAAACTAATATCACATAAAACGTTTACAGCAAAAAAAAACTATTCCAACAGTTAAGTTGAGAGTTTTTTTTTAACACAAAAATCGTACCTCGTGAGAAAGTAATAATGTGCTGGATTGAGCGCCAGCTAGTACAATTTCATTTCAGACATTCATTACTTAGGGTAACAATGTGTTTGAATAAAGCTACGCTGTCACGTCGAAAGCAGAGAGAACACAGAAATATTGGCTCAATTTCCAAAGAACAAGAAAAAAGAAGAAAGAAACAGGGTCTTTGAGTCAATCAAAAATTTACTGCTTTATATCCACAAACGTATAATTATATTATGCTCAATATAAGTGTGGGTACCAATAAATTAACTAATTTGCGTATGCCAACACGATATCTCATAATCAGTATTTTTAGCGTTAAAAGATGTTTTTTTTTTTTTTTTTTTTTTTTAGAAAGAGTCATTCCATGAGATGTAGTAATGGTTTTGTTCATTTGCTCTGGCTAAGTAATTGAACAACCTGTATTTAGTGAAATTTTTTCAAAATTAAATCACTTATCAGTGTTTGGTGTAATGACTAATGTAATTATCAATATAAGACTCAATTTATAATCCATTTAACTCTTAGATTAATTTTTTTACTTACTATCTAAATAGAAAACTAACCAAACCTTTTTTTATTAATTCGCTCAGATTGTTAAGTATTGTGCATAACTTTAATTGTGATTAAGAGAAATAACCACAACAAATCACCTTATAAAAGTATTAAATTTCACTTAACACTTTGCAGTAAATTCTTATACATTACAAACAATTTTTGGGCTAAAATTTCTACTAAAACACTACTATGAAACCTTTCTACAGAAGAGCCTGACGATTGAAAAAAATATCCAAACAATCATTTCCAGAGACTATTTTCTAATATGTTACTACAAATTTCAATAAATATTTTTCACACATCATATAGGTATACAGTATATGATACAACACTCACCTACACATCAAAATTACGTGTACATGTGTTTGGATTGTAAAGTTTTACGATATAACGTGCTTATGTAGAAATTTATTTATCTCGTAACGATAAAAATACTCGAAATAATGCTAAGAGTACTTACAAATTCAAAAACTCAGCAAGCCTCGAAGAAACCAAATATATTAGCAGATGTCTTGGACGCCGTTGGTAATTATACGCGTTGTATTCAAGACCAGCAAAACAGCAAGATATCCTCTGGAATCCTTCAATATACCAAAATTCTTTACAAATAATCTCATAAATATTTATGTTATACTTACTTTTCAAGCTTTTGAAGCATCAAGCAGTCAAATTTTTGTATTACAAATTCGCCGCAATGAACCTCAAAATCAAGCTGACGCCATCTTGGGAGGGAAACAAGTCTGTTCTTGTTGATGCTCAGTTGTGCCGCCAATCCGTCTTTTTTCCTTACCCTCGGTAGCCGTGGCAGGAAAATCATGAACACAGTAGCATCATCTGATGACAATAAAGATAACTGCATTACCAGCGCTTTCTATTTTTCCAATCGATAAAACATGTGTGCTTCTTTAAATCTTTAAGAACACATACTTATACTTATCCTTTTTTTGGTACTTCAAAAAATTAATTCAAAGACATGATTGTTAATTATTAAAAATAACAAATAAAACACGGATAAAAACAATAGGCCTTTACTGTTGAGAGAAAAAAAGACTACCGTGGTCAGTAAGCCATTTGTTGTAAGTCAGACAGATCAGCTCTCACCATCACACTAAAATTATTAACTTTTATAAAAAAAAGGGCCGACGTGCACCGATGCACTCTGTCACATCTTTCACTCATCTCACGTATTTATGTGTATATATGTAAAACACGCACTGAAAAAAAAACACCCGTCGCTCGTCGCCCTCATCGGCTGCTGTGTTTACCATAGAGATATAAAAGAAATTCTTTTATATCTCTATGGTGTTTACACGCGCCCAACAAGATCCGACTTTCACAATTAATAATAATCATACTTATTTGCCAAGTGTGCGCATGCTAAGTTTAAAAGTTGGTCGATCGCCCGTGTGCTGTACTGCAGTGACTCCAGCTAGTCTGATTTTGTTTCTTCGTGCTCTGAGGTCGCTCAGAGTCTCTGCACGATCTAATTGTGGTTCCGAGTTCTGAGCCCCTGCTTGCTCTGACAGGATGGAAAAGTCAGACAGCTGCTGCACACTAGCACTACTGACTGCCTCACCTGTGCATCAATACATATACTTGCTGTAACTTCGTGTGTCCAGCTTAATCAACCAACGCTCCAAGCGATAAGTGAGAAATCTCAAGGACACCACTTTCGAAAAACCGTAGCTGGAACAGAGATGAGCAAAAGGTGTAGAAAAGTCCTTGGTTTGAAGGAGGCCACTGTCAGTAGGTGAAAAGACAGCCAGGCTTTATTAAGTATTTCGCTGCCCATTGGTGAGGTCTTGTGTTGTGTGTGTTGTGGACAAAAAAAAAAGAAAAATCCTCTTTTTATCTTGTCGTGCCGTTGCTGCGATTTCTTCTGCTGTTCCTGTTAATAATTTTTGAAGATGACTCAGGCCAACAGGTTAGTTTTTTTTTTTTTTTTTTTTTTTTTTTTTTTTTTTTTTTTCGTCTATTAAATGTCATGTAAGCAAGGCACCTACTTATAGAAGTGTGTTTCCTTTATTACGTGATAGTTATCTTTTATTCGAAAATTCTTGGCTTGGATTATTTTTATCATTTTTTTAGTTTGGGGGCTTTTTTGTTTCGTATTTTACAAAAGGGACTTTAAAAATAAACTCTAGCTCCTATTAAAACGCGTAGTGTTGTAATCTCTCCTGTGTGTATGTTGACATCTTTTGAAGGCAGTATTTTTTTTTTATTTTGGCAAAATAGACGAAACACACTCTGTATCTTTTCAAAATGTAAATACTAAGAACAGTTCAATTTGACAGAAAACGCGGACGTGACATGGAAGAGGAAAATGGTGAATTCATGCCTCTGAGCAAAAGGATAAACAATCTTCATTTAAATAATTTGCAAGGAGGCGGACAAGAAAATTTATCAGAAAATATGGAATCTCACTGGGGGAATCAAAATTTTGCCCCATCACCAAATCATTCTGAACCATCCCAAGGATCATCATCCTGTGATGGCTATAGCTCCAGTCAAAGTAGCTACTCTGTTGAGTACAGGCCAGAACTTAGTGCCAGTGAAAATCCTTACTATTACGAAAATAACAAACTTTTGTACAATTTGCACATGGAACGAATGCAGAGAACAGATAATCATTTTTAGAAATTTTGTGAATGTTGGCATAGTATGAATGTATCATGTTATGTGTGTTTGTTCTGTTGTGTAGTCACTTTGGATTTTTCTAAGTGCAACTAAAATTATACTTGAAATTAATGGTGCCGAACATTGCTTGGATAATCACTTGGCTGTGCAAGCTTGAACCCAATGTTACCTAGTGGTGATACGATTAGATCGAGTTACTAATTTTGACACGACAAGCGTAAAGTCATCAAGAACGAGTTCGATGCTTAAGTCTACTGTGTACCGAAATGTTATTGAAAGTGCTTCTAACAAACTAACAATACCATACCGTAATGCAGCATTGCTTAAAATTAATTTACAGAGTTTAATGAATGAATTGAGGATTCCGTTGTTATCTATATTGTCGCTTTAAACGGTCGATTTGAATTTATGAAAATTTAGATTTGTAACTGTTGTTAAGACCATGAAAAAATCAAAATGTTATTGAAACGTAATTGAAAATTTTGTATTTTACGTGTATTTATAGAATTTTTTGTCATCAGCTTAAATTTTTGAAGCTTGATAACATGATTTTATAAGTTTTTGGATTATTTTTGAAAATGTATTATATTAATGCTGTACATTATTTTTGTTGGACAAAGATAATCCATAAAAATACTAGATTTTTTGTTTCATTAAAATCCAGCGCGATCATTGTTAAGTATTTGATGTTGCGTTATTCAACGTGACGTGACTTGAATAAAGTACAAGCTCATTTATTGAGCCAGTGATGAATCGCTTTTTATTAATATATATATACACGTAAAGAATAAAAACATATTGATCAATGTATTGTGGAAAAATGCACAAATCATTCCGTCACACTTTGTTTTGAGGCAGTACAATCACAATATTTGGAAGGTTACGACAACATTAAAGTCATTTTACCGAAGGTACGTCGACATTGTGAAGATAAATTTTCTGTGCATTTATTTTTCAAATGTATTGTCAATAAATCAATGGAAATAGATAATTCGAACTGATGATGGAAGTAACAAGCAATAACAATTGAAGATCATGCATTCGATTTATTGTAAATTCAAAAAAAAAAAACTAGCTACTTTAAAATAAAATTATTTGTATCATATACAGTGTGTATAAGTCAATAATCATATTTGAACTCATCACACATGAAACTAAATAATATTGTAAATAAATTTGCGATAAAAATAAATGGCTCGAAACTAAACGAAATTGTATGAAAATTATTTTACAAGAAATAATATTTTTATTGAAAACAACGTTTTAATTGTTTAAGTGGTAGAAAAAGTGGTTGTCGATTATTTGGTACGTGTTTTTTTGTAATCGGTTGGTCGGTCGATCGATCCTTCTGATTTCTCTAGCACGTATACATGTATACATAGTGAATATAAGATGTACTTTCTTAATTTAAAGAATACCTAATGAGCCCAGAGAAAAATAGAGCCTCGTTCCAGGTAATTTGAATTTTGCCGCTAAAAACATCGATCCATCGAAGATCTCAAAATTTGAAATTATCTCACGAAATCAGAGATCTGCTCGCCGAAAAAAAAAAATCATGTCAGGACGAATAAGACGCGCGCGCATTGACCTGCACTGACCAAAAATTCGTACATCTGCATGTTCACAAGTCCCTGCACCTAATTATTTGTACCTTAATGAGGACATCTGCAACCATCTGATCCAGCATGTGCTGCCACCACGTTGATCTGCAGTCGTCGCATTACAGTTTGGAAGCTGCGGCTCGAGGATTATTGTTGAAGGGAAAAAAATGTTCCGAGAAAGCTTAGTAAAACAAAACGAACGAAGAAGCAGCAGAGGGGCAACCGTTTAATTAGGAGAAAAGGGCCAATAAGAAACAAGGAAAGCACAAAGTGCAGGATACACCGCCCGACGCCGCCTATTTGGAACGAAAAAAGGTATTATTTACCTATTACACTTTTACATTTATATCGTAAGTGTATATAATACATAACTCATAAATGAGCGCGTAGTGAAGGAAACCGAGGAAGAGCTACACGCTCTCGAAAAACTCTGTCAGTCGTTCTCTGTCGGGCTTTTATTGAGAGCAATGAACTAAAAAAATAAGCCGACTTTTTACGCTGCGTAAGAAAGTACACGCTTGCAATCGTAGGTCATCGGGCCTCCTAGAATTGGGACCCAGGAAGAGGAGAATATGAATACACTGTCATGGATCATTGCGCTAAGGGAGAGAATACGTGTATATACATATACTCGCACATACTATTATGCCATTTCCTATAATTGTGCACCCGCACATTTTTTGCTTTAGCGCGTTTAATCCGAAATTGAGCGCATGCGTCTCTGTTGTACTATTACTACTATTTACAATAGTACACAGGGCACACCTTCATATTTATACCTACATTTAAATGTGTAGGTATGCATTTTGTCTATCTTGCTTGCTCATCATCGTGAATTATATATTCTCGTATTCGTTCCGCGTCCATCAAGCGGTAATCAATAATTTTATGCATACATGTAATATTGATAGGTAGTCTACACAGTAGCAGAGGTCATAGAGTTTTAATGATCAAAAAATTTATTGGATGCATATTGTTTGAAAAATGTTTCTTGGCAAGTGAATGCATAAACAAGTTATACTGATCAACACCGTTATTTTCCAATATATACTGCATTAGTGTAAACATTTTTTTAATTTAAAAAAGTTACCTACTTCAGTAGTAACAGTACTTGTACACATTAAATATTTTTAATAATGAAAAAAAAACAATCAGTGCTAGATACTACTTGATTATAACTAATACAGTTATTTCACACGAATATGAAAACTTGCCTCTTACAAACCAAACAATGAATAATAAAGCATTTAACTTGAATAAAATAAAAAAAGTTTGTTAGTCTAGTTAGTCTGCATATAAAAAAAAAGATTAAGTCAAATATCTGAGTAATTCTTGAAAGATATTCTGGAAAAAAAGGAATAAATGTAAGAGGACGTTGTACCCCACGTAAAAAAATTCTCTGCTCTCGAATCCTTTCGATGCACCTTGTCATGAGTACCGTTAGTCCCCAGCCGGAGTCCGGAGAAAAATAAAATAAGCGCGCGCCCACCGGCCCGCAGAGCAAGAGAGAGAGCGACAGCTTGAGGCATGCGCAGTGCAAACGCGGCAGTAGGCGTCCTCATCTACGGTAGCGGAGAGATGTGTTAACTTTGCTCAGAAGAGCCGAGCTCGTCGAGGTAAACTTATCGTATTTATGTCATTTTTTAACGTGTATTGTTCTTTTCATTCTTTACTAACTAAGTGTTTCAATGACCAAGTGATAAGTACAGTATACCCATCATAAAAAACTTAAGGCACGTTTTTCACCCCCCTAATGTTAGAAGGAGTAGACCGGAACAACGTCAGGAAATAGAAAAAAGAGTGGAAGTAACTGGTTTAGTCGCAGCCTGCAGAGACGAAAGAGAGGGAGCAGTTTAAGAAAACGAAAGGTTTTGCTGGTGGTGGGAGCGATCGGTGGTTCAACGTAAAGTTTTTTGAAGCAACCCTCGAAGAGGAAAGCACAGTTAGATGAACAATTGATGAAGAGGAAAGAAAAACAGTACAAACTCAGGTAAGCGTCTAATAAATTTTGCCGCCCTTTTTTAGGTTAGGTTGTAAGTTTGTGTGTGTATGTGTGTGCGATAGCGCGCGCGAGCATCCATCCACAGTATAAAAAAAAGAAACATCAACCCTTCGGTGGCAGAGAAAAATTCTGTCTCACCCTCGCGGACACCGGCGCGCTTTTGACAGCAGTTGCACGCATCTCAGAGAAGAGATAGCTAGAAAACGTGTGGCGGCGGTGGTGGTGTGTGGGTCTATACGCGCAAAGTCCCCTTTGGTGGGGTAGCGGGTGGTGGTGGTTCCGCGGGAGAGAGAGAGAGAAGTGCAGCCGACGGATATATACGTATATATAACCGGACAGAGTGTCTCTTCATGCTTGGTTTTGGAGCAAAATATAGTTGAGAAGGAGAGAGGTCGTCCTGGTGGGGCTGTTACTTGACGGTGGTGGTGGTGGCGGCGGTGGTGGTGTACAACACACCTCTCCCGCGAGAGAGAACCGCCGCCACCGGGGGACCCCTCTGTTCCCGCCCTCTCTCTTTTCTCTGCATCCGTCGATTGACTGCTGCGTCTTCTCCCCTTCCTTGTTTACAGCCCCATACAAGGGGGGCTAAACATCGACAGCTTTTCTGCTTTATACACACTTTCTTAGCTTCTATTAGTGTCCGTCTGCCAGTCTGTCTAGTTGTCTGCGTAGGGGTTCACATTTGACTCCGATGAAGCTGGCAGACGAATATTTCACATTGTGATTTCATATCCACTTACAAAATATCAAAAGCTTCCCCGACACTAATAAATATGTTTTGTAAAGTTAGTTTCAAGTTTATTATGTGCTATCCGGCTTTCGAGGTTAAAGTATTATTTACTCATACGCGAGGTTGCAGTGGTGTGGAGTGCAATCGTTGTCCAATATGGACACCAAGAAGAACGCTGCTGTCTGTAGCCACGCCTATTTCCTCGGCTTGCGGGTACCAGCTGCAGCAGCAGCTTTTATACATAGAGAGATCTTGTTCTTTTTTCTGTTAACGTATGCCTGTGAATTTTTATAGTGTCAGTTTGTCTAGTTAGCATAACTGGGAGGTTTCGTATGTCGAAGATTAAAATTGCAGCGTCAAGCATCCATCGGTTCAACATGTTCTGTTCTTTATATTCGAAAGTTTCTGCAGAGAGTCTTGAGTTGCACTTTTGTGGCACAATAAAGTGACAATAGGTAGCAGAGAATGTAATAAAAAAATTAGCTGCTAATTTTTTGAAACTTAAATTAGTAAGTAGCTTCGTAACTCACGATCTCATTTCGCTTTTTTCCCTTCTAAAATTAAATTCTAGTCGCAATAAAATGGGTCCCACATTTGTCTGCAAAAGTGCTTTATCTCGTGACTTCATCCATTTATATGCCGAGCTACTTTGCCGATTTATTTCAATAATTTTTGAGCCTCGTTTCGAACAAAGTGTACGATCTCCCTCGCCTACAATATCTCGATGTTGAGGTATAGTTTGTACTACGAGATTCCATTTTAAATCCTAGTGCACGAGGCCAGCCTTTTATTTTACCTCTTACAATATTACTTGTGATTCTGGATACGCATGTCTCTTGAGATTATCACAATTCCACTTTGAGTCTACATTTTTATGGATTTTTTTTCATGCATAATATAATAATACACTTATACACACATACGTACGCGCAGTTTTTGGATGGCTTCTGCTGATGCGTTTGCCTCTCTCGTTTGTGCCCCGCTGGCGCTCTGTGGGGACCTTTTTTACTCCAGCTCATGCTTCAAAATACGATTCCTAAAAAGGTTCTCAAACCTTGAAAAGTTTGAATGCCTAAGTATACCTTTCTTGTTCTCTGTTCACTTGCGTTGTTACGCTCTTTAGAGGTAGAAAAGCTCATTGTTCGATTCGTGGAATAGTTTAAAAGGGGCTCTTACTACGCTAGCAGCTTTGTAAACTAAAATATATAATACTTTTATGACGTATGTACTTATGTACCTGATGGCACTTGGGCAGAGTGCATCGGCATCTGTATAGTTCTATATACATTATAGGCATGTATTCAACGTTGACGAGGGTTCGTTGCACGCCCACTAATAAATCTAATGCACATAGATACTAGATGCTGGATAGCTCTACACCTTATAAAAAATACAGACACTTGGTAACCAAAGAACTTCCTGAGCCCCGTTGCAAGCTTGGAATTTCAAACTGGAAAATCGTGTGATTTCGAAATTATAAGTATGCGTGTTAGTACGTGGATTAAGTCGGCTTATATGTATAGTCGAAACTAACGTGCACGCAGAGTAGAAAGTTGAAAGTTTTGGTTTTCATTGCCGCACCGACAAACGACCTTATAAGAATTTTCACTAATCGAGAGAGTTGATTAAATAAGGTCAACAGTAAAATAAGACATCTCTCTACCTCATCTAATTGTCCTAGTAGATGAAAATATTAATTCACTCAGTTAAGACATTATTTGTCTCGTTTTATTCAAGAAATACGATACAAGTTACAAGTGAGATACACGGTAACGCTATATCTTGTTTCTTTGTTTGCTGGGGCGTGACAAATGATTTTTGACTCATTTTTGCCACGTGTGAAACTAATCGCACCCGAGCGAATATTCGACTTCATCGGTAATTATTTTTAAAATGAAATATAATCTGAATATATTGCTCTAGAACATTCTTTCTAACGAGCTGGAACACTAATTAACTGCTTTTAAAGCATTATGGTTCGATTGATAAAACACGTTTATCATTTTAACATTGCATTAGTTTCAAAATTCGATTAATAACTGTACACGTGGAAGTGTATTTTCACAGCTATGTTTGACGTGCTGATACTTTTTTTTCTTTTCTTCTTTTAATGAACTAAATAGTTTTGGATTTTCATTATTTTTGTATCCCTATGTCCTAAGAGAACAACGAATCATCGAGTTAATGGCAAAGTTTAATGACGCAAACCAAATAATATTGTATATTCAGTTTTTCAGGAACGTTTAATCATTTGGGCACGTGTCTTTGCACATTTTTTAATGTTTAAAAAAAATATATTTTTTTTTTTATTAATTACTGAATTGCCGTCGACCGCCGCTACCAATCGGTTAATACTCATTTAGTCATGCGACGACAGTTGTCCTAAATTCAGCTACAAACAACATACACATGTATACGACAATCTGCTCTGCCTGCAAAATGAATTTGACATGCTGTCTTGTTTTAAGTATCATCAGAAGAAAAATAAAAATCGGAGCATCCATATGAATGTACACGAGGTATAACACTTGCTATGCCAGCTCAGCAGCCTTTCGAAGCGTAAAAAAACCTCACAAGTAATAGTAAAAATCTATTCTTGCACTGCAGTGCAGCAGGTAAGCAGCCAACGACCCCAGAGCTGCACGGGGGCAAATAAACTTGCACACACGCAATCTTTTTTTTTTTTTTTTTTTTTTATGCACATGTCTTTTGTAAAACCAAAAGCAGTGCCGAAAAGAAAAATACCTGCACGGTATAGGGTATGTATAGGTACGTAGGCACACTTAATGATGCGAAATACGGCAGCAACAATTTCTCATCGTGGGCCGCTAATACAGTTACTCCAAAACAATAAAATGCATGGCGTGTATATGTACTGTTACGTGCACACATATAAACATATATGTATATGATGAATAAAATGTAAGCAGCAGAAGCAGACGTTCTCCACGTATACATGGGTTTTTACACGCAAATGAGATAAGAGCAAGGAATAAGGAATGTCAACGAGAATGAGCAGAATAATGTATAAATTAATGTGCTCTACATTTTTGAAAATATTATTCGGGCTGGCGGTCTGATATTTTCAAAAATTACAGTACATTTATACATCATTCTGCTCATTCTCGTTGATAGTCATTATTCCTTGCTCTTATCGCAGTTATCCCGTTTGCGCGTAAAGTTTCTATATATGTATGATAAACATGTTATATAGGTGTTTGTATCGTAGACGACGTTGCTCCGCCATGTTTTGCAATCACAAACATACACAGGCACACGAATTCACTAGAGCAGCCGGCGCATGCGCACCTTTCCAATTTCTCATAGCCCATCTCTTTCGCACTCGCAGCCGGCCCCGTGTAATTCGTGCTCCGTTCTCACTCTTCTGCTGCAGTGACTGTTGTGTGTTGTATATTATATGCTCGAGAGACGATACGAGCAGACAGCAGCAGCATTTCGGAGCAAGCAGAGAGGAAGACTGACTCTCGGAGAGAGACAGCCTAAATACTGCACGGCGTCGTTGTCGAGAGCAGAGAGAACGCGGTAGTTTCTCTTGGTTGCTCTCTAGGAGCGCCACGTTCGCTTAGCACTTGTCACTCTCACCAGGAGTTGCCAACACCGTCCCGGAGGAGCTGTGCGAGCGCACAACAGTCGTTCACGTTGCGGATGCGACTCTTTTTCTTTTCAATGTCGCCATCGATGGTAACGTATGCACACACCAAATACATATTGCGTTCTTTATCTCTCTCTCTTTTTTTCCCCTGCTTTTAACCAACATCACCACGGTCACACAATTTTACCTCTCTCTCTCTCCCCGAGAAATCACTGAAAATTTGCCTTATATTAACAGCTGCAGCTTCGAGGTCGGGCTGGCCTACTTTGTATAGTCTCGTGTGCGCGCTGGCGTGTGTGTGAACGTGTGTGTCTCGGCCAAGCGTGAATAACGTTGCGCGTATAACCATCAGGCGTAGAAGTGATCTCCTCGACGTGAAAAGCCGAAATATATAAATCTGCAGCAGTGAGCAGACAAACCGCTTTCGTCTCCCCCACGGCCACGACTGCTTGTGCTTCTTCCTATATAGGTAGGGTATAGACATTGGGTAGGTACTGCATGTGCTCGTTTTCGTCTCCACCTCCTCCTCCCGCCCTCTCTCTCTCTCTTTCCCTATGTGAAATCGTGACGTGCCGCCCGCGCAGCCAGGCAGGGAGAGAGAACGCGTGTAGCCTCCCTCCTCGGGGCGCGGATGGATAAACTTGGGGGATCACCGATGCAGCGCCGCCAGAGTATATGTGGCACAGAGAGGCGGGCTGGAGGGCTCCCTTCTTTTTCTAGAATCTCTCTCGCGCCCCGCACTTTGCTCCTTCCCTGACAGCCTCTCTCCCATCCGCCCGCTCTCACTATCTGTGTGCCCTGCCCTGTCTGCCCCCCTACCCTTCGTTTTCCCACACTCCGTGTACGTGTGTCTTATTTCCTCTCTCTCTCTCTCTCTCTCGCTCTTCTCCCTCTCTATCTCTCTTTTGTGTTTTCTTTTGGGATGGATGGGTGGTTCCGATAGGCCGTGCAGCTGGGGTGGAAGTGGGTACCGCGCACTCCATTTCAACATATACCCTTCCACTCTGTCTCGATGCTTGCGCTCTTCCTACAATCTACATATACTACCCCTTTTTTTTGCGGGACTTGGGTAAGAAATCTGTATAAACGTGCTGTATCGGGGTCCCTTGTACACGGGCCTAACGAAATTTCCAAAAAGTTGTGTGTTAGCTTCGTAGGTGTGCATGACATACCGCAAAGTGTAATGGTAAAAGGTGACACGCACGCAGAATAGAAGAGCAAACAGGAGAACTGTATAGTCGTGGCGTGACCGTATCGGGACGGTTTTTAAGACGGCACGGCCTTGCGCCACAGATCTGTGACTGTTGTACTTATACATCCATGCATGCCACACTTACCGTGTGCGCGCGCATACATCTACACCTTGGCATGATGTGATTACTTTACAGCAAGAAATATGTGCTACGTCATCAGATAATCGTTCATCGCCTAGAGCAAATTTTGTTTCAAATCATACAAGAATAATTTTTAATTTTTCGAGTTTATACATTTTTTTTTTTTTTTTTTTTTTTTTTTTTTTTTTTTTTTTTTTTTTTTTTTTTTTT